ATACACAGTACCGGTATATAGAATAGTTCATGAGTTATTAAGCATTAGTAAACAATGTATGTATGTAGCTTATTAAGTCTGAATAATCCTTAATGATGTTTTCAAGGTTAAGTAACCCTTTATTAATGATTAATTAAAGCTAAATAAGGTGTAGTTATTATAAAGTGTTACCTGTAAAGCTAATGTTTTATAATGTTTGACAGTGGGTGACATTACCAAAATAAAGAAGGGCATGGGTCAGAAGAAGAAACAGCWAAAAGAGGAGGGAGGCACAGATGCAAAAATCAGCCAAGAAATTGAAAAGCTGAACAAAGACATCATGAAATCTACTGAACGTCTTAGCAGCAGCATGGATGTTTTTCTTCCTGACTGTAAGTAAAGACTGTTGCTTCATTTGCATTAATGTGAACATTTTACAGATGAGATGTGCTTCCGTTTGGTTTTCAGTTAAAGGAGGCGTCTCCACCCCCGACCTGATTGAAGCTCTCTCAGATCAAAAACCATCAAACTTTGACCAAGTTCTGGACTGGCTATCCCACCTACAGGTCAGCACCAACATGGACAACCAGCTGACCCTCAACTTCTCTCAGACATCAGGGTACCGCTCTGTGTTGTCACTTGCCTTCAATAAATGAATAACAAAGACTTCCCATGTAAAGCTGCAAATGTACAAAGAAAAGTGAGGATTTTAGACATGTGGAAAAAAATTAAATAAATATTATTCAAAAGAGTTCACTGAAATAAAGGAGTAATTAATAAGTGGTAGTGTATGGGGCACTGTTTGTAAAGTTACACTAAATATTAAGTTTACAAACTAAATACTTAACTTGCAAATTAATCATTTAGATAGCACTGTAAATACTTTATTTTTAACAAGCTAAATATTTGGCTACAAACTAAATATTTATGTTGTATCTAAATATTTAGCTTGCAAACTAAATATTAAATTTGCAAGTTAAGTATTTAGTTTGTAAACTAAATATTTAACTTGTAAATTAAATATTTAGTTAGTACTGTAAATATTTAATTTTTAGCAAACTAAATATTTGGCTACAAGCTAAATATTTATGTTGTATCTAAATATTTAGCATGCGAACTAAATATTTAATCTCCAAGCTTAATATTTAGTATGTAAACTAAATATTTAGCATGGAAATTAAATATATAGTTTAGAACAACGACATTCTTAACTGTATGAATATCAAGGTAAAAATATTACTTTGAAAATTGCCCCCCTATTTTTTTTCTCTTATAAAAGGCTAAATAAAGCTAAATATTGCAGGTAATTTTTGGCAGTGAAACTTTTACAAACAGTGCACCACAGTAGTGGCTACAAGTTAAACCAGTGTTTTTCAAAACACTTTAAATCATTATCATAGAATTGAATCTGTTTTTCAATCTTTATTTTAAAAAGAATTTATAATAATACACTGAAATATTATTTAAGAGAACTTAAGAGTGGTTTGACTTGTTCTGCTCTTATCATCTACAGTTTGTTGAAAGGTTGAATATAAC